CAGTCACTTATTTTGAATTAAAATAAATAAACATTAGCCACATGTCACAGAAATATTCACCTCCAACTGTGAACACTTCCTGATTGTAAAATAAAATGAAGGAGATCCCTGCAACTTCTCGCTAATTCCATACCTAAGCGTTTAAAATTGCACTTATACTGTTGTTGAGCTCTTCAAACTCCAAATTACAATTTATGTGTTATTTTCAGCTTTCTGAGCTGAAAGAGGTAACTGTTCTATGCTTTTGAGCCTTTCGAGCTCATATCTTGCGTTTGACATATCTATTATTAATTTATAATTGTGTTAATTAATTTAAAATAATTTAAATGACACACAATAAGAGATTATCATTATTTTTATGATATATTTATTTAAATAAATGACCAAATTCATGGAGAACTAACTGAGAGCAATATCACGCCGCTGAATTATTTATTTTTTTTTATTATTATTGGCGGTACTTTTATCTCAGATAAAATTTTATCCCGGATTGAAAAACTGGCCCTAAATATCTGGGTTCGAAGAGCTCAAAAACATAGAACGGAGAACTCAAAATAACACATAAATTGTATTTTGAGCTCAAAGAGCTCAAAAACGTCATAAGTGCAGTTTTAAGGAGGTATACCACGTAAAAAAGGACACCAATCGGTTATGGCTATTGGTTTCTTTCTCACGCGCTAGTGCTGCCTTTCTTTACAGACTATCGCTAACTTACTTCCACTCAGGTAAAATATTGAAAGTCGCTAACTTCAAAGATTTTTTATAAAAAAATGAATACCGCTCGTTTATGTTATATTTGATAAAAAATACTTGTTATAACTTCAATTAAATATTGTTAATTTTTCAAAAAAATTCTAGAAAAGTGCGGTTGTTATTCAATAAAATGTTCACTCTAACTACGGACAGGATGGAGAATACAAACATGTCAGATGTACGATTTTTAATTGCTAATGTTTCGAAAATTAGCGCCGCAAGGACTATGAAAAAAAATTTATTCGTATAGAAGACACTTAAAAGTACGCGTATTCAAAAATTGAAGAATATTGTAAGAAAAGTGATTTTTCACAGTAGCTCCTTAAGCACTTAGGTATGGAATTAGCGGGAAATTGTAGGGATAGCCTTCAGGGTCAACCGTTTTCCTAATTTTTTTTTTTCATCAGATGCTACAATGGCGTCCATTACTTCTGGGACACTGTATACAGCCTCATATGGCTATACATGACCAGAACTAGGCCATATCAAAAAATTTATCACGGAAATCCGTCAATTGTAACTACGGAATTGTTAATTAGGATAAAAGGGTATTATGTTTTTTCAACGAAGTAACTCACTGTAATACTCTGGAATTCCGCGAATGAGTAATATACACAGAAAGCTCTTTTTGATTAAATCATTTCAGTCAATGTGGATTTTATTTTAATCCGTATTATTTACTTTCACCGCTAATTTGTAATGTTTGAATCAGTTTTAATTTCTCAGAAAAAAATTTACTTGAATTCAATTAAAGAGATGAAAACTCTCAGTTTAATCAGCTGTGTGATATCGAAAAAATACGATAAATAAAATAGTAATATTTGTGGTTATAGTCAGTAATTGATGAAATTTATAATGAAAATGCAAAAATTTAAATAGATATATTCTGGATTGTAAGAATTAAGGTTCATTTATTTCGTGTATTTAATTTTTATGCGGCTAAAAATTTTAGTTGAAACGGTAAAAATTACCACTTAGAAGTATCTAATAAGAATGTTATCTAAAGCGGTAATTTTCTCTTAGAGGTTGCTGTACCTCGTATAACTATTATGTGTTATATTAATTTTCAAGTTCTCTTCTTTTGTCTTTAAAAATAATGAAAAGAAAAAACTAAAAAACAATTCATGCACTGAAGTTATTAAAAAATTAAAAATTACCATATTCATTTACATCATACACTGTAGAAAATTTAGGTGTAAAAATAGATACGGAGCACTTTACACGGCTGTGCAGTGTGAAATACCGGTGTAAAATTCTCTCGGTCTAAATTTTCCATGCATCCGTGTAATTTTAACACGGTGTAATTTACTTTTTTTAAAAGTTTATAAAAATGATGAAATGTTCGTCAATATATCGGTTATACGGCGTAGGGGTTAGTTATCGGTTTGGCAAGCACGCGGCTCGGGTTCAAATCACGATTAGAGCAAATGCGATTATCATTTAGTTTCTATAATTAGCGAAAGTTAGGTCTAAATTAAGAGTCAAACGATCTAAACTTGCGTTGTCAATTAAAATATTTCTTTCTTTATCATTTTTTATCAAAAGGCATGCGCCAGACTTGGAAATTAACAATGGCCCAGTCCTGGTAACCAGGCATGGGCCAGAATTGAAAATTAACTGTGGCTAAATCCTGGTAACCAGGCATGAGCCAGTCGTCGTAACCAGGCTTGGGCCAGCGTTATCATTCTAGACTTAAACCAAGACTAGGCCAACTCCGGCTTACAAACCTGGCCCAGAGTTCTACATAGTTGGGCCAAGCCTGGGCCGGCCATACTTTCTTGTATGGGTAGTGTTTTTCGATACTGAATTTGAGTTGAAGACGAGAAATTCTCGAATCAAGACAAGCGGTTCTTTTCAAAAAAATTTTGTTCTCGAGTCAACAATATTTTTCTTTAATCAAATAAGTTTTTTTTTGTCAATGGTTATAAAATTTTTTCTATGAAATTCGTACTTAATAACTTTACGTATAGTCAATGTACATTACGAAACTTGATCGTTGTTAAATATCGCATTTATTAAATTATTCAAAGCTTTGTAATCAATATGTGTGGCATACACGCACAGTAGTCACATTCTTTTTAGTTATTGTAGTTTAACATGACTGAATAAAATGAAAAATTTTTTCATTTCCTCTTTTGTATCTAAAGATACATACGCTTATTATACGAGGATGTATATTTAATTATAAAATTAGTATTATCTTAAGTACAGTAAACTTTTGATTTTGTTAGTGATATAAAAAAATGAGGTATAGTTAAAATTATAACTCTTGACAGAATAATACTATAATTCGTATCAGTTTTAACATATACATGAAAATTAAATGTTAAACTATTGAAACGGGCAGTAATTTTAATTTACCGCGAATGGATGCTATTAATAATAAGTACGTACAAAAGTTATAATTAATTAAAATACATAATCCATTCAAAATCCACATGTATGTGAATTTATTATTAACAAGTTTTATTTTAAAAATTATTACATGCACGAATATTTAAAAAAGTTAGTGCGCATTGAGGATTCGACACAACAATTACCATGTTTAATAATTCAATATCCGTGTTATGAACTCAACCGTATCATTGACACAAGCTTGTTTGTTTTATAAATAATAGAATTGTCGCGTTATAAAAACATGTTAGCTAATTCAAATGTATAATGCGTTGATTGTAATTTTCAAGTTTTCCGCATCATCGAAACAACGAGCGAATAGCGTGGTGTTAATTAACAGAGAAACATATCGTGTGCTCTATCTTCTTTATACGTAACTGGAAATTAATTTTTTCGCTATGAAGAGTAGCAAAAGGAAAACGTTTCACAAAAAAAAAAAAACATTTAATTAAAGAGAAATATTCTTGGTTCCAAGGAAGTCCATTTACTACACTTTGGAAATTTCAATTAAAGTCTTCCTGCTATATTCCATTTTGTAAACAGAAAGAAAAAATTTTTGACTTAAAGGTAAATTTTCTTGGCTCAAAAAATTATTAAGGAAGACTAAAAATTTTTTAATGTTTAACAATAATTTTGGTCAAAATTTTTTTGCCACAAGACATTCTTTTTCTCGGTATAAATGGGATTAGAACTGCTGTTGCACCCACTACAATTTATTTTCCATGAACGAACGTTATTTAAGAATTTTAATAACAACAAATACTGCACCTCATTAAAATTTATAGTCGTCCAAGTATAAATTAACACATATTTGATAATTTTTACGACTTAACTTAGTAAATATTTTTAATTGAGTGGTGAAAAATGTAGTGACTTTTACGATCGAGAATGTAATTTTTACAATCCAGATAGTAAATCTGTTTCCACTTCTTGAAAATAATCATCATTATACGTGCAAGTAAAGACGTATACATACTGACTGACGAACAGGTCAGATATAGAAATCGAATTCTACATTGGAAAACGATAATTTTCAAAATGAGCAAAAATTTTCGTCTTTTCCAAGAATTTTATATTCTTTGTTTATGAACTAGTTTCTTTGTTCAAAATAGCAAAAAAAAAAAATAAATTTTGTATTTGAACTCATTCTTAAACGTCTCTATCTGAGATTAATTTTTGATGATATATATTAATATGAAATTGAATGAAGACAAAAATTCTTCAACCAAGAACATAATTTTGAACAGTTTGATTATCTTGAATCAATCAAAACATTTTTGAATCAAGTAGAATTCCCTTAATCTAAGAACAATTTCTTGATTCAAAAATTTTTTGAACTTAATTAATATAATTAAGCTCTTCAAAATGATATTCTTAGCTCAAAAATTGCACACCCGCATGGAGAAATATATATGTCAAAAATATATGTCGCATATATAGTATAATATGCCGCATATATTTACGCAAAAAAAAATATGTCAACATATATTTTTCACATAAATGCTGACATATATGCAGAGATACATGCTTACATATATGTAGACATATATGTAAGCATACACTAAAAAAAAAATTTCTAAGTTTGAGAATTTTTTTACTTAAATCAAGAAAGTTAAATTTTTCAAAATTATTTTCTTGATTCAAGTTAAATTTTTTTCTGTGTATCTCTAGACACTTATATGCGCACATATATGTGAACATATATGCGGACATATATTTAGCGTAAAAAAAACATATGTGAAAATATATATTTGCATATATTTTTCGCATATATATATTTTTCCATGCGGGCAACTCATGATGCGAAGCATCAGAGAGTGCTTTACGATCGAAAAATTTCATTTTATTATTATTTTATAATTAAATAAGGATTATGAGTCGTGCACTTTTGGATTTTTCAAATTTCATTTTTCTCTTTAATCAAAATTATTCTTTTATCAGTGTACAAAGTGAGAAAAATTTGAGAGTTGTTGGTATTCTTGAAAGTAGTAAAAATTCTCTGATGAAGAACTTTTTTTATTAATCCTCGAGTTTTATTTTCTTGATGCGAAAATAAAATTTTTCTTCATCAATAATTATTTTTTTTTCTTTTCAATATGGAAAGAATGTAGAAAAATGTTGAACTATGAAAAACAAATAAATATGATTAAAAGTAAATAAATAAGTAAATATATATTGTTATAAAAGTGGGTAATATAAAATAAATATAATTTTCAGCCACTACAATCTCACGTGCGCACGTACAGTCCACTTGATACAAATGATTCAGAGTGGCAGATCGCACAAACTAGCTTGCAATTTCTCGTAACGCCGGACCACTTTATGTCGGGGAAGCTCAAGATCCGGTGCAGCGCCTCGATATACGATATATATTGGCAAAGTACTGAGGTGAGCGCGGAAGAAGAGAGACCGAGAGTTATACAATTGGAGCCAGCGGCAACTATAGTGGGCATCAATTATCTTCAACCTCCCCCGAACTTTCAGACTGGCCAACGAAAACCCGATGGACATCTTGACGTTAAAGGTAAACGACCCTATTATATTTTATCCAATGGAACTATCCACGTGACCACACCCTGTCTGCATGTTTTCTTATCAAATTATCCATTTTTATTTTTTTTATTTATTCTATTCCACTATTATTATTTTATCCTTCAGAAATACCATTTGCAATTACACAATTACTCAATGATTCTATTTAAATGGCAATCTATTAATAAGAAAAGAAGAATGAGGGCAATTAAATTCTATTGGTTTTTATGGAATCTCTTTTAATTGGAGATATTCTTAAAATATCTGCGCTGAAAATATTGATAATGTAAAATAAATACTCTCTTCACTCAAAAGTTCCTACATTTTTTTTTATTGTCATTATCACTTTAAAAAGTATCTGAAAAACAGTTGACCCCGCAGGCCAGTTCGAAACTTTCAGCTGTGACTAACCTCGTGCAGATAATTGCTTAAAAATTTTAAAATTTTTAAAACTGTCCGCTTCGATTCTTAAGTTTTTCTTCGGCTATAAAAATCGAAAAATCAACTCAGTTAATTTTTAGGTAGATTTCATAGAAATCAATCTTTTGCATCGGTCCTCATGTCGGAATTTTGTCCTAATATCACTTAACTAGTCGAGTAAAGCTCAAAAATAACGTTAGTTAAAAAATTTATATATGTATGTATATACATATACATATGTAATATAACGCGGGATGTTGCCGTGATTGTGTCTACAGTTCTTGGCGGATCTAGATGAAACTTGTTACACATATTCTTTGAATAATAACCTTGAATGAGTTCGAAGATGAGCGAAATCCATCGATAAGTTTAGAAATGGCAGCTCTTCAAAATTATCAAAATAGTGAAAATCACGTTTTCGGTGACTTAATTGTTGTGTAACTTTTGGTTGAAAAGAGATGGCTAATTTTTGATGAATTCATGTAAAAGCTCGTGAAATTGCCTTCAATTTGACGCATATAACATTGACATTTTGACCATTTTTAGTTATTTTATCAAAGTGAAGAGTTTTATTGAACCATTTTCAGGCAATGTGGAGTGCAGCCGACTTATGAATGTTATTCGGTCAAGAATTCGTAACAGATCCCAATAAAATGTAGTATACAAATTCTTTAGACAATTAGCTTGCATGAGCCTTAAAATGAGCAAAATCCTTCGATTAGTTCAGAAATAGTAGCTCTGCAAAATGATCAAAATAGGAGAAATTATGTTTTCGGTGACTTTATTTATGTATAACTTTTAATAATAAAAAAATAGCTGATTTTTGATAAATTCATGTGAAAACTCATAAAATCACTTCTAATTTGACGTATATAACGTTAACTTTTTGACCATTATTAGTTATTTTATTGAAGTTAAGAGTTTAATTGAACCATTTTCAGGCAGTGTGTAATACAACCTATATGCATACATATATGTTAAAATAAATTTCATTCCATGTCAAACGAAAGTTATTGAGACAAGATGAGAATTCATTCTATGAAATCTATTTTCCATTTCGGGTATGGCCGAATGGCGTCTTTTTTTTCTTACAGCTTATAAAAAAAATTTTTTAAATAAAAATTTTTGTTCTAAATTATTTTATCTTTGACATTTTTTATGAAAAAAAAAAAAATTAACAATTGTTCAATAAAAATTTTCAAGAAAAAAAACTACTTGAATTGCATTGAAACTTGGAGGTTTAATATATCTGTCGAGTTGAATGACGACAATGCGAGATCGATAGCGAATTTTTTAGCTGTCAACTTGGATATTTTGAGGTTTGCAATAAAGAAACGTGATTCCACCGGAACTGAAATTAACTCAGAAACTAATGCAGTGGGCTGAAACCAGTGAGTTTCTTCTCTAGGGAATAAAAGCAACTATTCAGTTTCTGCTTGCTAGCATTCGCATTGTTCTGAAATTGTCTTCTCACACCTTATTTGCACTGAAAGTTTAATTTCTTACCTAATTTTGGGGAAGAGATGCCATGTTTCTCTTATGACTTATGAGAACACAAATGAAATTAAATGGCTAAAACAACTTCTTGATGACAATGGAAAAATTTAAAATTTTCCGTGGATATATGACAGGGAGCAAGGTATCGCCTTCGGCTCAGTAGGCAATTTTAGAAGCTAGTTGCCCTACTTTATTCTCCAATATTTCAGTGGGCTAAGACATTGGAACTTCGGGACTCGAAAAATATATTGTTTTGTTGTACAGATGTTTCCGTAGTTTTACAAAGAAATGACACAGTGGAAAGTTAATAAAAGATTTGAAACACTATGTGTCAGAAATCAATGATATCATGACCGATCACGCGAATTTCTCCGTCAAATTGTTAATATTGAATTCGATAGTGTTGTTCCATTATTTAAGATATCCTGACTCAAAAATACAATTTATTTTTTAAACTGTTTTTTATTGAAAAATTCACCAATTTTCGGATAGAAATTTAATAATATTTCATCTGATTAAAAAAACATGAAATACATGATTGAACGTTTGATATTTAATCCTCTTTGTCAGAGTCCGATTTGCAGATATATGTATAAATTTATTGAGGTTAGGTTTATTTATCGATTGCTAACGGCAGCGAAAAACTACGAATTTTTTTATTTTATCGATATTTCTTCATTAATGTTTTTATGATAAAATTTAACAGCTGAACGCGGAATCATTTTTTTGAGTTCGCCTTTTTACATTTCTAATTAGAATATAGGCAGAATTATTTAAAAATTTTGTCAACACTGTTGAATTTTTGAGAATAAATTTTTTTTATCTTAAATCAATACCATTATATTTTTATCAGCAAAACATTTGTTTTCAATCAAAATAAGCCATTTGTTTCGGATATAGTTTTATTTGCTTTGTAAAATATTTATTCGTTTTCTCTCAAACATTCGTTTATTTTCTACTCGAAAAACTATTCAAAATATTCGTTTATTTTTATCACAAAATTTATACCGACAAAGCAGCGATAAAAATGTAACATCAAATTTTTGTTAAGATATTTTTGAAATGCACGGTCGCTTTTTTCGAGCATTATCCGATTAAAATTTTCTCTTCATTGTCTAAAAGAAAAAAAAAACTTGAAATATTTCCGTCGACAATAATCGCATCTATCCATTTTATTAATAGCAAGTACATCTATCGGAAAAATATTTTCGCTGTTTCATAATACTGGAAATAGCTTTCTGATATTCTGATAATTATTTAAAGTATATAAATAAGTATAAAATACTATTTTGTATTAAGAAATTATTCGAAGATGTACAGAAATATTTAAGTCGCCTCATGGTTCGGGTACTTTTTAATTAAATTGAATTTATAATGTTGCTATGACAGGATTAATTAACATTTATTCAATGAAAAAATATGACTAAATAAATTTAGAGAACCCACAAATTATTAAAAACACCTCCAGAAATGTAATATGAAAAATTGACTGTCACAAAAAAGTAAAAAAATTGTATAAAAAGACACAAATTCAGTTCAAGATTTTTTTGATAATAATAAATTTCGCTAAAAAAAATTCCTTTCAAAATAAACACATGCCTGTCACAATATTTTCTTTATTCTCTTAATTATATAGATTATTATTTGATATATAATTACATTCACAAGTAAATATATAATAACATAATAAATAAATAAACAAATTTTATCTACGACGAAATTTGAATTCAAATATAATAACTCTGAAAAATTATCAAACTAAATTAACAATTACTGAAAATGATATAAAACCATAAAAGCGACAAATTAGCATCAAGACTTTCACAATGATACTAAATTAATTTTATCTTATAAATACATCGGAGACGAAATTTTCCTTATTTTCCTAACTTTTCTTTTAACGAAATGTTTTATTTCAATCACCAAATATCCATTATAAAGTCTAATTTATTTTTGCGCTATTATTTAATTCAAATAATGTACTAACTAAGTTAATTTAAATTCTGCACCTTCATAATTAATAAAGCTCTCATAATAAATCCTATTACATTCAAAGTACAACACGAATTAATCTATTTTCAGACATCGAATCTTCATCGTCGTCATCGTCGCCGTCATCCCAAGCGAGACTACGAGGGTCCTGGCAATTTATTTTTGAATTGCTCGTATTCCTACGACTGGCTATCAACGTCATCCATTAATGATTAATACCCCTACTTCGTAAAAAAAAATAAAAAAACCAAAAAAAAAAAACAAATAAAATTAATAAATAATAAAATATAAAATAAAATAAAAAACCTTCTGTATTATATGCGTGCTTTGGAGCTCTTTATATAAATTGACGTGCTTGTAAGAAAAGTTCTCGTACAATTTAACGTGTTGATTATTCATTCTTTCTCTTTTTTTAAATATATATATATATATATATATATATATTCAAAAAAAACCAACACTTCCTTTTTATCCAACACATAACGGATTACAATGGATTTACGGTGGTTGAGTGAGCATAATACTTCGGTTATCCACTCAGCAAATAGCCAAGTTACTTTTAGGTTACTTTTATTTGAACATAAATGAAAGTTTGATATGGATGAAAAACAATGAAAAAAATAATAATAATAATAAAAAAACTACAAGTTTAAAAAGTTTAAATTTGCAGGGTCGATTTCTCGTGTGGCGTATCCATCAGCGGCACATCAGCCCGTCATTTCCACTCATTCAAAGTTAGTAAGAACTGATATGTGATGCGATACTATGTTCCATACAGAACAGGCCAATAGAGTTTAGGGAAAATATATCTGTCACGGATACACCGAGTAAGTTTACGCATTGTCAGACACCCTTTGCCAGCGTATTACATTAGCTTGTCCATCAGATCGACGTGTACCCGATAATCGATAAACACCCAAATTGATGAAACGACGGATAAAACTATACTGTAAAAAAAAAAATTTTGGTGTGGGTGTGATAAAAAATTTTGCGCGAGATGTGCTCTTCACTGAGTGAAGTAACTATAACTGGACCAGACTGGACTGGATATTTTTTGATGGGCAGCAACCAAAAACTGGAGCGGATGGGATCAAGGATAGGTAGGAGTTTATGCTGTGGATGAGTAGAGGTGACTCCATGCAGCGGAAGAGATGAATTTTAGCACGAGTGCCAGTTTAAATAGCAGATAGAGGTTGGGCTTCAGTCGCGATGATTCGCGGGTCCAAGCGCAGAAGCTCTGATGGCTAATCGATGTTGGCTTAAGCGACGTGTATGTGCTCAGCTCGTATACCACGCGATTACCGTGCGTATGTTATATCCGCGGGTAAACTTTATGAGAGTTACTTTACGGTGACGTAGACCGTCTACCAGTGTATCTATGTATTTATGTGCATATATGTACTAGCACGTAAGCATCAGCATAAGTATGAGTAATATAAGTAGTATGTTGTATTATATGTTGTGTATATAGATGTGGAGAAGAAGAAGAAGGACCGGAGTTGAGAGGGTTCTGGATGGAGGACATACATGTGTGGAGATGCGCGCACACTAACCAAACTATTCCCAGATAGTGGAAAGATGGATTGAGATGCATGAGAATCTCATACTCCAAAGTAGAAGCTAGGGATGGGGAGAGTTTGGATTTTAGAAAGTAAGAGAAAGAATGCGGGAAATAGAACAGAGGATAGGAAATAGGAGATGAAGATTGGAAGATAAAAGTGGAGGGGTGCTGTGGAAGAGTGCAAGAGTGGCGAGAAGAGAAATATTCCACCCCTTGGAAAAAGACTGCTATGACTTTTCTGTAGACGATTTGTCGGGAGGCGAGGGCACCCAGTGTAACCAAGTGAATCATCCCTTTCTCAAATCGTCGGGAATGACTCGACAGAGTCATGCGCGTCGATACAGCCATTGGGGGATTCTGAACGGAGAGAAAAACACGCTCCTGAGAGATTCCTGCATCGGTGATGCTGATGTTGATGCTGATACAACAGTGAATGAACAACAAATCGATTTTCGTGGATGTGCTGTTCCGGGATAAATTTTCATGGTAAATTAGGGAGGATTGCGGCGGGATTCTTGATCAGGAATTTTTATGCTTCGGGATTAAGGGTTCTGGAGATTTGAAATTTTTAAAGGGAAGATGGTATTTTTGATGCTATGGTTGGGATTTAGAGATTTTTTTATGGAAATTTGACGAGGTTTCATTAAATTTGGATGTAAGTAATTTGATAAAAAAAATTGTGAAATTTAGTAATGAATAGATTTTTTGAAAATAACAGATGTAAATGACAAGCTATTATGTACGGTAGCCATTGTATTGAAGTCAAAAATGTTTTATTAAAATTTTTAAATTTAGAATGTAATGATAGGTGATATATATTTAAGGAGTTCTTAAATTTTATCCACGAGTGTTTTACAGTCAAAAGAGCTAGTATTATTCGTTGTAATTTTTTGCCTTTCTTGTGTTTTTTTTTACACAGTATCCCGAATGTATATAACTAATTTCATATAAAAGATAAAACAATAAAGAATATGATATAGTTTACATTGAAGACTATGAAATTATTGTATGATAATTTTCTAATTGATTTTTCGATTGATTGACTTAAGATAGTATTGTCTGTCATAGAATTACTGATCAGAGTTGAGTTCAATTTGATATATTAGTAGATTATGGTAATATAATAACCTAAAAGAGCTGCAAAAAATCAGTAAAAAAATATTGAACTTATGAACTTTTTGTATTTAACATTGAATCTTATATGAGAAATCAGTTTTTGTTTTATTTTACAAATAGTACCGTTTAAATTTTAATTAAAATTGAGGTAATGCGGAAAGATTACACATTCAATATTTTCATAATTTAAAATACAGATTTAGAGCATGCAGACATATTATTTAAAAAAAAAAATTTCAAAAATGATTTATTTTTCTCTGTTTTTCTTTTTTTAGTTTTTGATATTGCAAATTGAACTAATTGAGTAATATTTTTTGTTCTCGGTTAAAGAAATATTATTTTCAGGCAAAACATGTCATTAATGTTTAAATTAAATATCTTAACAATAATTTAATACTCTTGAGAAATTTTACAAATGCATCTGAATACTTCTAATGAATCGAATGCCTCTCATTGAATCATCAGCAGGAATTCGAAGAACTACCCAGGATTGCCTGAACAATAACAAGACATCTAAAAGAATGAAATTCTTTGATAAATAAAACACTAATGACCTTGTAGTGGAAGCAAAAAAATTAAACGAAGCCTGGAAAGAATGTTAAGTACACTAAAACGAAGGAAAAGAATTCACATTGAAAATACAAGTGTCCATTAAATCAATTAAAATTTAACATTTCCAACCGCTTATACACATCCTGTCTGCACATTTGTTGTTATTTCAATAATACCCAGATGTGTGTGTGCGAAGGTAGGATGTTCGCCTATTGCCTAATGCTTACAGGGGATAAATTGAAAAAGTTTATCGTGTTTTTGTACGGCTTTATTCAATTATTTAGGTAAATAGATATAAAAATAAATAAAACAAATTTGTGACGAGACTTTGAGTCAACACTCGACCGCAAATCCATGCACACTCGGGTAGGAGTTTCACAGATAAATCTCGAGGGATGTAGGTGTGTGCGAACCGATGAACAGATCGACACGGGAAAACGTACAGCGAGGGATAAAATCTATTACTTAACTTGATGAATCATCGCGACAGTTTCAGTCTAGTGCGGTCCGATTTCTCTGACTTTGGTTTTGGTTTGTCGGATAAATTTATACATTTATATAAATGTATATGTATATGTATATAAGATTTTATAGTAAGAAAATGGTGACGCTTGAATTAATACAATGTCAGAATGAACCCGAGTTTGGAGGGTGAAAATGGGAAATGAGCACGTGAGGGGTAGTATCAAAGCCCATTTTTAGTTGAGTTCAAAGTACTCTCAATTTTTCAATAGCTGTTCAAGTCAGAGAAATTGTTGTGGTGGTAATAGTCATAGTAATAGTAATAGTAACAGTAATAGTAGTAGTAGTAGTAGTAGTAGTAGTAGTAGTAGTATTAGGTTAGTTGAGAAAAAGAAGAAGAAGAAGAAAAATAAGTATATAAGAAAAAATAAGAAAAGGAGATGAAATAAAATCACGGTATTATTTTTCGACAGGTTTTCGAGTGAAGAAAAAATACGGGTGAACTTGAATAATGCAACCGTTCATTTTATTTTTACTTGTTTTTTCCTTTGTCTTTTTGAACCACTGGTACAGAGCGTCGGCGCTTTATTCTTTTTGTAGATGGAGAAACACAAGAGAATGAAAATAATATAAATGAAAATGGAAAAGCTTGACGGGCGACGGGTAGTATATAAATCCCTTAAATATAAAACCGAGTGGATGATCTAAGTGTTGACATGGGGAAAAGAAAAGGAAAGGAAAGGAATAAAGCTCAATCTAAGGTATAGTCATATATAATGTAATATAAACCGTATAAGTATAAGTATAAGCATAAAGAATCCATGCGCCGCTTATCCGAATACGGGGTCAATACCACAAAGTTTTATTGCAGTCCTTCTTTGGTCCCTCCAACCGGGTTGTATGAATCCATCTCGGGTGTGAATCATCCTACTATATTACAGGAGCATCTCTTACTCTACGTTGTATATTGTCCTTAGTCCTTTTATATTGATTTATATAGTTATAGTTATAGTTATATTATAAGTTATAAGTATAAGAATAGGAATCATAGAATATAAGATAAACGGAGGATTTAGCATATCGTTTGACTCAATATCGGTGTAGTTGGCCAAGTTGTTAAGAGGGTCCGCTAAAAATCTACTGTTCTCGACACTAAAGATAAATTTATCTTTTTTCCTTACTTAACTTTTTACTCGGTGGGTTAACTTTTCTTGCCCCTAAAAGCACGCCCTTTTACGTTGGACATGATGTTACATCCCAATTCCGATCCCAAGTCATTCATTGATCGGTACAACTCTACAGTATTAAAGTCTTGTCGGAGCAATAATTCATCACTGTGTAGTTGTGTAGTGTAGTGACTGCTGCTGCTCCGCTGCATCCAATAGGGGATGACACACTCTATTTCGGGGTGTAATGCTATTTTAGGGAGCTAAAACTTTTACATCAATATTTTATTTATGTTTTACCGTCAAATTGGTAATATCAAATTGGTTATAGCTATACTTATAGAGCTGGTTA